GATGACTGCAGGGGGCAGGGCTATGATGGGGCAGGTGCAGTTGCTGGGTACATCAATGGTTTGGCTGCCCATATTTTAAGGCAAAACCAAAAGCACTCTACACCCATTGCTATAGCCATAGACTTAATTTGTCTGTATGTGACTCTCTAGCTATACTTGAGGCAAAGAACATGCTTAAATATCTTATTGAGGTATCTCATTTTATTAATATTTCTCAAACACGAAATACTCCTTTTGAAGATAGTATTAAAACCTATAGTTTAGTTACTGAAAGTAGAAAGACCAAATTGGGTGATGTTTGCAGAACCCGGTGGGTTGAACGTGTTAAGGGCTTTGGATACATTCCAGGAGCTTTTTGTGCCATTATTCCAAACTCTGAAAGACATGACGAATAATTTAGATAACAAGTTTAATCCTTCTCTTTCAAGTGAAGAATCCTCATTTTTAACATGTACACTCATTTCAAAGTTTGATTTTGTTGCTGCATTAGTTATAAACAGACATGTTCTTGATGCAACACTTTCTGTCAAACAGCTTTTGCAAGGGAAAAGCATTGATATAATGGATGGCATTTACATGATTAACAGTTTAAAGAATAATATCATTATAATGAGGAATTCTGTTGACACATATCATGATATGTTGTATAACGAAGCTTTAACATTAGCAATCGCCATTATCTTCACAATACGGTGCTTTTCTTTACAGAAGCTTGGTTTACGACCTAAATGCTTTTATAACGATGTTCAACAACTATATCATGAAAACGTCTCAGGAATAACGTCAGATTATCACGCATGTTTGAAAAAGAAAGAAAGTGATCAGGCCTGCACAAACTTAAAAGAAATGTAAATTACTGATATTAATATTAACCGATTAAACAACAATATAAAGTCAATAGCTCACTTTTGTGTCAAGGACATATTAATTATTATAATGAGAAATTCTGTTGACACATATCATGATATGTGGTATAATGAAGCTTTAACATTAGCAACTAAAGTGGATATTGACGAGTCTGGGTAGAAGTTAACGACTGTAGGTAGAAAAACGACTAGGGCAAATCATCCATACAAGACTGTATCAGGATATTAATTATTATTTTAGTAGAGGATAGCATTGGTCTCATCAACTCTGGTGAGCGCAAATGCGGAAAGTGTCTAGCTTTGTAAATTTTCGCACTTCTGCAGGGATTTCCGTCTGAAGAGGCACATGTGGTAATCTTCGCTGGTGGTGATCTGACGATGACGCCGAGGTCGATGTTGAGAAAATTTACTTTAACATCAATGGTGCTGCTGTTAGATGACCCGACTGTTACCAGCACGCTCGTAACGAATTTACGTGAGTATTCTTCATTGTTTTACAGCTAATGCTGAATTATATTGCGATTGGTCGATTCACAATGTAATGTCGCTGGCGGGCAACAAGTGAGAATATTTTGCCGTCCAGGAAATCAAGGAACGATGCTGAAACTTTGAAACTAACTTTGCTACTAACTGCTTTTAAAATAATGTGTTCACTGAAGAAATTAAAATTTTTCTCCTTAAATGGGAATGTAAGCTAGTTATCCGGTATTCTTTGTTTATAATATCATCATCGTCTTATAATTTTATTTTATAGTCTACTCCATCATATTGATCATATCGGCAAAAACAAAACCAGTTTTCATCAGGCGATGGCCTTCGTGGCATTCCGGATCATCCAGTCAGCAAATGAAGCGTCCTGGCGTAAGTGTTAATCCGTTTTTTTTCCAGAAAGCGCATGCAGGTTGGCAAAGTGAAGAACAAAAATGATATACATCCTTTTATCAGCTGTATAATTGGTTTTCAGTAAAGCATGTAATATAAATTCGGATGGCGGTTGAGGCTGTCCTATAAGCCAATCCCCACCTCTTGCGAAATACTGTTGATTGTCACGACTTATTATGTCTCCAAACTGACGCTAACACACGATATGCGTGTTCATTATCTTAATAGAGAATAGCATTGGTCTCATCAACTCTGGCGAGCGCAAGTGCGGAAAGTCTCTAGCTTTGAGAATTTTCGCACTTCTGCAGGGATTTCCGTCTGAAGAGGCACATGTGGTAATCTTCGCTAGTGGATTACCACATCGATGACGCCGAGGTCGATGTTGAGAAAATTTACTTTAACATCAATGGTGCTGCTGTTAGATGACCCGACTGTTACCAGCACGCTCGTAACGAATTTACGTGAGTATTCTTCATTGTTTTATAGCTAATGCTGAATTATATTGCGACTGGTCGATTCTTAATATAATGTCGCTGGCGGGCAACAAGTGAGAACTTTTTGCCGTTGAGGAAAATCAAGGAACGATGCTGAAAGTTTGAAACTAACTCTTTTTTTTTCAAGGGCGTTAAACATGTCACGTACGCTTTTGTTAACACTCCCCTTGCTCACCCATGCACAGCAAGGTTTGCATGAACTCGCCGAGTTCGGAAGTCCTGTCTTTACTCTGCACCTTGCAGCAAGGGTGTAATTTATGTCTATTTTTAGGCGCACAGGCAGGCGGGTTAGTGGGCAGCAGCGTAACCACCAGGGTTAGACTCCTCATGGCTGGCCGCAACGTCGACATCGGGCAGAGGCTGGATGATGATGTGTTGAAGTTCCAGTTCGTTAAAGATCAACAGCACAAAAATGATGGAGAACTGGAACTTATTCAATTTGTCAAAGACCACAAGGTATATTACTGTTCATTTCATATGAGCAAAAGTATAGGTGTGAAACCACACAAAAAGCACATGGTTATAACTTATTAGGGTAGCTATCAGTAATTGCAATCGTCTATAGACTTATAGTTCTTGATTATATGGAAAAGCTATAGCTGTTTTTGTGTTTCTTAGGGCCTGCTTCTAGCCTGGGGAATGGGCTTTGCAAGAGTGTGGCCCCGTATAACATCTGAAGGGGCCAAAAGAATGGAAGCCATCCTCCGCCAGTATTTGGGAGCTCGGGAAATCCGAGACAAAAGATTGGCGAAATTACTGCTCGTCAGGATAGTGGTTAGTATCCAGCGGTGTAGCTGACGAGTGACGATAAGTATAGTTGTAATCTATGAACATTTTATTATTACGTTCAGATCAACATCAGTGCTGGCGAGCAGCCCGAGCTCCACCAGCTGCTACAGGCCCTTGGATATGTTCTGGTAGATGTCCCGGTGTTGACAAGGCTGCAGCAGAGCGTACTAAGAAAGTTAATGGATGACGAGAACGATGTAAGTTCCACATTAGCATCCTATAATGATGAATCGAAGCCAGAATTGATGAAACTCCGACTATTTTACTGGCGTCGCTATCAACGCATATTTTGAGCTGGATCGATGAACCGATAAAACTGAAGGTTAGTATTTAAAATACATTCAAAAAGACTCCGAAGGTTTCCGTGATGTGTTAAATCTTTCCAACTGGCTTCGCGGAAGTTGAGCAATTCTGTCTTCGTTTTAATTTTGATAAGTATAGTTGCTTTACCTAGATTTTATTGGATCAGCGGGCATCTACTCGTTCAGATGGTCTCCATAGTCGCTAATCATGTTCCTTACTAATTTGGTTTTCAGCCAGCCGCTGCAGCCTTGATGTGAATCAATCCATCCGTGACAACATCAGTGCCGGTGTGGCGGTCTTATTGCTCCCCCGGTCTGAGCCATCCTCTATCACAATGCGCATATTATGCGCATGCGTGAGTCAGCGGTTTTGCATAACAACATTTCCTCGTGGTCCGAGTTATCCCCTTTCTCTCGCTGGCTGTCAAACAGAGCACAATTCTCACACGCGTTCGAAAATCTTACTAAATTGCTTGGTATTAAAGAAGAAAAATGGTTCCACAACAAGAGCCTGCCGTTGGAACGAATTTATCGAGTGAACCTGACCGAGGAACAGAAAAAAACGCATGCTTCAACACAAAGAAAAGTGTGAGCGAATTCTGCACTACCTGCGCCATGGCAAACATGGTTTGACAAAGAATCAACAACGTGTAGTTCGTGGACAAGCAAAACACCACGTTTTGGATGATACAAGTAATTTATAAGATAATAAGTATAGGTAATATTTAGTATTTATTTGTTTTTCCTTTTTTAACAATAATTTTAGTTGCAGTTTATTAAATATAAAAAGAAACACTGCAACACATTGCACAATCCTCTTTCGGAGAAGCGGATTTTATAGTGTCTTATCCGCCGATAGTGATTGCGATTGAACCATTGTCGAAAATGATTCCGTCAAATCGATGCCGTTTGTTGGTGACATTGCAGCTCTACTCCATCCGGTTTCGACTAAAGTAGTGTTTTCATCTTTATAGGAAAAGGTGCGAGATTCACGCTAAACAAAGACGAAGCGAATCCACAAAATTGGAGTCCACAAATGTGTAAAGATTAAAGCTAGACAGAACTTGGAATGGGTCAGTAAAGGCATTGGTGTTTCCTATCGATATGGTTTTTAACGCCTCAAATAAAGCAAACGAAAACACTCAGGAACGTTCAACCGAAGATCATTCATTATTTTGTTACTTTTGAGATATAATATGCTATATATAATTACTACCACCAGAAAGGAAATAAAATAATTTCGAATAACAAAGCAAAAGTATAGTGTCCGTGCATGTTATGTAGTTATATATACATCCGAACTATTCAAGATATTTAAAAAAAAAATGTTTAATCTTGGCGCAGGCTATACAGAATTAATTAATTAATTGTAACAATGACACTATGTTTTGTTCTTATATTATTATATTAATATTTTTAGTGCGCTTATGGAAATTTTTCAAAGGCCAAGACACACCGGACATGTCAGATTAATCAGCGCCCGTTTACAGCGGCAGCGTCGCCGCCGCAAATTTTTTTTCCGTAGACAGTCGGACCCCTCTTAGATAGTCGGACTCCTCTTTCACTTGCGCCCATAAGCATATCGCACAGCGGCTACCCAAAATAACTTACAAAAAAATTAAAATTTGCTTTTGCGCGCGAGTATGCAAACAAAACATGTCCGACAAAGAAAAAAGCACTCATAGTGACCTTATTCGCGAATCGATACACGACATTACAAATATATTCTCTGGCGAGGAGAATACCGAAACATTATATGAATCTGTAAGAAATGTTTTGCCCATCAAAGAAGGGTATTACAAAATTATAAACGTCCAAGGAATTGCTCGAAGATTCAAAGCTAACATCAAAGCCAATCTGCAAAGCGAAGCGGATATAACAAATTTCATTCAGAATTACGGGCAAAAGAACAATGAAACTCTAAGGATTACTAAAACAAGAAAAGGTTGTTCAAACCAAGAAAGTATATTGACGAAATATTTCCGATGTCATCATAACACACGGTATGAGGGCACAAAACGTCCGAGTGAGATCTTGTCATCGTGTCCAAGTGCACGATTTAAGAATACCAACTGCCCATTTTCTCTTGTGGTGAGAATAAGTAAGAAGCCGGATGCTCAAGAATTTGGCTCTACTATTGACATAGAGTGGAACCACAATCACCCTGTTCAGTCCTTACATTCACTTAGTTTTAAAGATATACCAGCTTCAGTAAAAAATGACATTAAGCAAATGTTTGCAAGTGGTTTGTTGCCTGGGGCAGCACATCGAGAGTTTCTTCGTCAACTAAGAAGTGAATGCCAAGATGACATGGAGTATCATCAGAGACTTGCAGATCGATCAGAAGCTCCTCGGAGGAAAGATTTCAATGATATATACTCGAAGTTTAAGAAGGAACGATTTGGGACTGGAAGCATGTCTGATATGTTTTCAGCTCTTGAGAAAAGAATTCAATGTCTTCAACAGAAAAACCTAGAGTACTCGTTAAAATACCAGAAATTTGATGAAGAAATAAATCAGCCATTTATTCTGGCTATTGTAACCCCACTGATGAAACGAGTTCATAAGTTGGTAAGTACATACATTACAAGTGTGGCTTCGTTGCCTTGGTGAGATCTGGCATTAACTTGTTTTAGTCAAAATCCCACCCCTCCTGGAAATTTTCTTTGTTGGTGGGATATTGTTCTTTCACATATGTGTCCCATCAGACTGTATCTTTTATGATTCAAATCAACAGGAGGTCTAAGAAGTATATTAGTCTATCCCCAAGCTCATTAATTGGTAATCCTACTTGAACAATTTTGGACGTACTTGTGTAAAAATAATGCTTGCATAAGGCATGTTTGTTGGTTTTAATTTTTAGGTGCCACATAGTAAAGACTTGGGATTCTTGGATTCCTCCTCCAATATGGAGGAGTACAACCTCCGTGTATTTGTTATGGTTACACACAGTGTTTGTGGTGCTTTGCCCCTTGGCATCTTCATAACCAGCGATGAGACAGAGCAGACGCTTAAAGATGCATTGGAGTTGATGAAATCATGCTTTGACAGTGATTCAGCATTTTATGGTGCAGGAGGGCCAGGAGTGATCATGACGGACAATTGTTCTGAATTGCGGGAAGCTCTAAAAGAAGCCTGGCCTAATTCTGTGTTGTTGTTGTGCATATTCCATGTTCTTCAACAAGTTTGGCGTTGGTTGCATGAAAAAAAGAATGGAATCTCGATGGAAGATAGACCTTCATTGTTATTGCTATTCAAACATGGTCTCTATGCTGAGAGTGAGGTTGATCTCCAGGACTCATTTGATGATCTCATATCAAGTGATTTGGCATCAAAGTATCCCAATTTCATAAAGTATATAACCAATGTCTTTGAAGATCGTGAAGCTTGGGCACTTTGCTACAGAAAGGACTTACCTATAAAAGGCAACAACACCAACAACCTATGTGAAGCTCAATTTCTGGTCATTAAAGATGGGATTCTTAATAGGCAGAAGGAAGTTAATGTAGTCGGTCTTGTTGATAAGTTTATAACCGACCTTGACCAACATTACTGTGACAAGGTGTTGTCAGTATCATCAGGTAATTATACATGTCATCAGGTTGACAGTAATTTCATTAGCACCTTATTTACTTGAAAATATTAATTATTCACTTGTTTCAAACTTGCTATAGGCAAATATGATGGTATTTACAGCAGACGATTTCAAGGTCGAGCTAAGGGAAAAAAAGATACTGGTGGAATTGGCTTCCAAATCCCAAACGATGAAGAGCAGAAGTTAGTGGTCACAAAAACCATTAAAGTTGGTGACAAGATATTCCTTGTACCGAGTCTCACCACAGAAGGAATACAGTACCTCGTAGATATGAACACTGGTATCTGCCAGTGCAAAATTGGTAAAAATGGATCACCTTGCAAACATCAGTACATTCTTTGGGCACACAAGTTGGCAGATGCAGTTAATTTTCTGCCAGTTTTCAGTAAAACACAGAGGCAGTTATATGCCCAGATTGCAATTGGGATGTCATTGCCATTGCAATACTATGAAGGCCTGCATGATCACGTTTTGACCCTTCCTGATCCAGTTGAGCACTTTCCAGATGTTCATAATTTTACAGATGAGAGAGATATTGCAAAAACAAGTAAGCATGCCCCCCACACCCTCTGAATGATAATGATATTTATTTAATTGAAGTGAAATACAGTGTGTTTCAGAAAAAACGATACTCTTTGTAATTCAAAAATTGACATATTGCATTGAATTCGTATTTTACTAATTTTAGAACAATCAAATCGCTTTATTACGACTAATTTGAATTACAAATAGTAACATTTTTTTCTGAAACACACTGCATATAGATCCCTTAACTTTGTTTTGGACAATAAAAATTATACAGAAAACATTAATTTCTATTGTCCAAAATTGCACATGAATGTTTATTTGCCTGCCAAAAAACGTAACCAAAGTTTAGGGGTCTATATACAGTGCTAAATGTAAGTGTCGTTTTATTTTGCAGGTCTACCTAGAAGGAATCTCCCTCATGACACAATTTCAGTTGACGAGTGCTCTGAAGCTTTGACCACAACTTTGGATATCTTAAAAGAGAAGTTGGATGGAGCTGACCAAAACTTTCTAAAAGGTGTCCTAAAATTCACTGACAGAGTCAAAAGTATGCCAATGTCTAAGCTGGCAACCTCTTTTCATTCTTTTGGTGCAAGAGGTGTATATAACACGCATCTCACAACAACTTCTGTTGTGAAAAAACGGAAACGTGGTAAGATCCATGTGCAACCTGAAGCAGTGAAGCGGCGAAGGAATATAACTGGATCGAGAAGACAACAAAACAAAGGTCAACTGGCAAAAAACAACCCATTTGTAAAACAAGCTGGTCGCACCAAACGTGCACACAAGTTTGCTGAGAATGTGCGGCAAAATGAACCAGTGGCAAAAAAAGCTGGAAGAAACATGGCCACTAAAACAAGGGTATATGAACATTAAGGTATTCCAAATAAGGTCCACACCTCAAACATAGAGAAAAAAACTTTCAAAAGTCTTGGGAGGGGAAAGGTTGGGGAGGGAGGTGTAACTATATACAGATATCCATTTGTCATTTCCTAAGTAGGGGAGTATAGGTCACTCCTGAATGACCATTTATTACTATTCTTTGTGTACAGATAAGGATTAGCAAGTGCACTAAATGTAATGATCTTTAAGGTTTACAAAAGTTTACAAACAGTTTTTAGAATGCCTCTTTAAGTTAAACATGGTGGAAAATTTTGCGGCACACCTAGAACAATTAAATTTTTTTTCACGTGTGTTACTGTGTGTTTTCAAATGTCGTTCCAATGAGTTTTGACTGGCAAATGCTTTATTGCATAATTCACATTTGTATTTTTCTTCGTGTATTTTGCTATGTCTCCTCAGAGACAACTTATTTTGAAATACTTTTCCACAGGTATTGCATGAACATTCACCGCAATGGTTTTCATGGTAAATAGCATCTTTCGCTCGAGGAAATGTCTTCGCACACTTCTTGCAGATGTTTTCCACTAACCCACAATCTACATCCTCTCTGATTTTTTGTGCTTCCCTTTTCCAGTCCTATTATTGAAAGACATGGAAATGTTATCTCATTACAATCTGCAGTCATGCATGTTTCGCCGTTCAACGGCTCCTCAACTGGTGCAGCTTGGTAATCATATTTGATACTTTTTACCTTTGTATTTAATTACAACATGCACTTGCTCTCACCAAGTGCATGAGATGCAACCCTTGGGCATCCCATATAATCCAATCACCCAAGAGGTTTTTAAGTGCTAACAGGGCTAGCTGTTAAATTACTTACTTGTTGGACATTGGAAGAGCATTTTTTCCACATGTGTGAAGCTGTTTTGCTCATCATAGCTAAATCTGCATCAGGAGCTTCATCTTTGATTTGACCCTACAAATCAGATATTTAACAGATATGGTATGAGTAAAACTACTTGCTTTTCAAATTTATCAAAGCCGTATTATTAAGAAAAATATGATATGGTTTTGTTAAGATTGCAAACTGCTCTACTTGGAATAATTGTCTGCCTATACTTCACTTGCAATCAATCACTTGGGATTTGGGACACACCAGACAATGTAATCAACCCATGCCAGCTGGTGCCCAAAATAGTGCATATTTGTGATTAAATATTCTTTTCAACAGTATCATACCACCAGCATGCCCGAAGACGAAGTCCAAGTCAAGAATAAATTATAACGTTCAACAATTGAAAATTAAGTTCATTTCTATTTCATTCTGCGTGAAAACTGAATTTCAAACACGTGGCACATATGATTGGTATTAATAATGGTACTACAATCTAGTAAAATATTCTTCCTGCGTATTTTGAAAGTGTATTGAATTTAACGAAACTTTCTCGCTTCCACAAGCCAATAGAGCAGCAATATGTGTAAAATAACTAAAGACTGTATATATCATATAACTATTTTAATATAAACTGAGAGTAAACCGCCTAAAATAATATATCTAATCATCTATAAACTCTCAATGAATACAGGTTAAATAAATGAGCAATCTGAATACTCACCGCAACTGTTTTATAAAATGCGTGATATCCTGTTATCCTGCATGACTTGAGCGAAGAATCACCTCCATTAGGATTCGAAACTACTTCGATATTTTCCTTGTTCACTGCCATGTTTGCATACTCGCGCGCAAAAGCAAATTTTAATTTTTTGTAAGTTATTTTGGGTAGCCGCTGTGCGATATGCTTATGGGCGCAAGTGAAAGAGGAGTCCGACTATCTAAGAGGGGTCCGACTGTCTACGGAAAAAAAATTTGCGTCGCCGCCGTGGCGTGTTTTTTCATTTTCACTGTTCGAAAACTGTTATTCTTGAATTATTTGGACTAAATATTTATTAAAACTTCCTTTCATAGCTATATGTTACAGTAATCAGTACAGTGACTGTGCGCATAAACAATGTACTCGAGGACTGAGTGAAAACAGATATCTGGGCTACCCATGAATATTACAATATAGTTCAAAATTACATTCACAAAATATTACCTCAAATATTACATTTACAGTATAGTGTATTGAAAACATAAACAGAAACGGCTTATTTAAAGTGCATAACTAATTTTGGCGGGAAATCGCGTTCCACTGGAGTCCGGGTTTTTTCCTTTATTGCGCAAACATTTTTTGGCATATCACGATTTAATATTATACCCTCCTTTGCATATACCAGTCGGCGCTGAAAGGGCATCTAACCTTACCCAAGAGTCCAAAGCTTAGGACAAAAACAAGATCTCGCCCTACCTGTGACGGAGGGTGTCATCAAAATTGAAGAAATGAAAAAGTGAGCTAGTGTAGTACGTACTGTGTCCATGACAAAAATTATATATTTATTGTATGGATAGTTAATGAGAAACCATGTCTGTTAATATTGAATACTTTTCTCATTTGTAACCTGATCTTCATTACCATAATCAATGGCGCCTTATGGTTCCACAACAAGAGCCTGCCGTTGGAACGAATTTATCGAGTGAACCTGACCGAGGAACAGAAAAAAAAGCATCCTTCAACACAAAGAAAAGTGCGAGCGAATTCTGCACTACCTGCGCCATGGCAAACATTTGAATGATTTAACAAAGAATCAACAACGTGTAGTTCGTGGCCAAGCAAAACACCACGTTTTGGATGATACAAGTAATTTATAAGATAATAATTATAGGTAATATTTAGTATTTATTTGTTTTTCCTTTTTTAACAATAATTTTAGTTGCAGTTTATTAAATATAAAAAGCAACACTGCAACACATTGCACAATCCTCTTTCGGAGAAGCGGATTTTATAGTGTCTTATCGGCCGATAGTGATTGCGATTGAACCATTGTCGAAAATGATTCCGTCAAATCGATGCCGTTTGTTGGTGACATTGCAGCTCTACTCCATCCGGTTTCGACTAAAGTAGTGTTTTCATCTTTATAGGAAAAGGTGCGAGATTCACGCTAAATAAAGACGAAGCGAATCCACAAAATTGGAGTCCACAAATGTGTAAAGATTAAAGCTAGTCAGAACTTGGAATGGGTCAGTAAAGGCATTGGTGTTTCCTATCGATATGGTTTTTAACGCCTCAAATAAAGCAAACGAAAACACTCAGGAACGTTCAACTGAAGATCATTCATTATTTTGTTACTTTTGAGATATAATATGCTATATATAATTACTATCACGAGAAAGGAAATAAAATAATTTCGAATAACAAAGCAAAAGTATAGTGTCCGTGCATGTTATGTAGTTATATATACATCCGAACTATTAAAGATATTTAAAAAAAAATTGTTTAATCTTGGCCCAGGCTATACAGAATTAATTAATTAATTGTAACAATGACACTATGTTTTGTTCTTATATTATTATATTAATATTCTTAGTGCGCTTATGGAAATTTTTTAAAGGCCAAGACACACCGGACATATCAGATCAATCAGCGCCCGTTTACAGCGGCAGCGTCGCCGCCGTGGTGTGTTTTTTCATTTTCACTGTTCGAAAACTGTTATTCTTGAATTATTTGGACTAAATATTTATTAAAACTTCCTTTCATAGCTATATGTTACAGTAATCAGTACAGTGACTGTGCGCATAAACAATGTACTCGAGGACTGAGTGAAAACAGATATCTGGGCTACCCATGAATATTACAATATAGTTCAAAATTACATTTACAAAATATTACCTCAAATATTACATTTACAGTATAGTGTATTGAAAACATAAACAGAAACGGCTTATTTAAAGTGCATAACTAATTTTGGCGGGAAATCGCGTTCCACTGGAGTCCGGGTTTTTTCCTTTATTGCGGAAACATTTTTTGGCATATCACGATTTAATATTATACCCTTCTTTGCATACCAGGCGGCGCTGAAAGGGCATCTAACCTTACCCAAGAGTCCAAAGCTGATGACAAAAACAAGATCTCGCCCTACCTG